CAGCGGTTCAGCTATGGGCAGCCCCTCACACTGACATTCTGGGGCCCCCCCAGGGGCTCCCCCATCCCTGTGAGGCTGAGGCTGGAAGGGGCGGGTCTGACCTTGACTCTGCAGCATTCCAGCTGGCCCAGCCCCTTGGACGCCAGGCAGCCCGGGGAGATACAGCTCAAGTTCCTGTAAGTGTCTCCACTCTGTCCTGAGAGATGGGGTCGAGCAGTCGGGGTGGTCCCTGAGGTCCAGGCACACCTGGTTCCCTGGGGTCTGGGGGCTCCCGCCTTCCCCACTCCTGCTGGAGGATTCCTGGCACCACCTGCCCCAGGCCTCAGGTTCTGCTTTGACCCCCTCCCCCTGCCAGGTTGCAAGAGACCTCCGAGGACGTGGACCCTCCGCTGCCGCCCTTCCACTTCCAGCAGCTGCTCACCAATCTGACTGCTCTGCGCATCCAGGCCAGTGGCCACAGTGCCAGCCCTTCCGGTGAGTAATGAAAGGGACACCCCCAGCCCCAAAACCAGCTAGGCCCCCGGGCTCTTTCGTGCATAGCCTTGCTGAGTCCTCGCAGCAGGCGATCATCGTCCCCGCTTTACCACAAAGGAGTCTGAGGCTCAGAGAGGTTGGGACGCTTGCCCAAGTTCATATAACCAGTAAGGGCAGCAGGAGGGGATGCTGAGCACTGAGGCAGGGGCTGGACAGGTGAGGGGCCTGAGGATGGACAGCTCTAAGGGACAGGTGCTTGGCCACAAGGCAGCCAAGAGCCTGGCGTGGTCACACCATGGCAGAGTCTGCCACTGCCGGGCGGCCGCACCCTAGAGGGCCCTAGGTTGGTGCTGGCCGCAGGGGCCAGGCCAGGGTTCCCAGGGTATCGCTTCCCCCTGCTGGTGATCGGAGGTGTTGCACCTAGAGAAAGCCTGGCTTCTAAACCCTCTGAACCAGCCAGCGGAGTCATCACTTCAACCGGGACTTCCCAGCACCTCCCATCCTGGTCACTGGGTGATTTTGCCTTGATGGTCCTCTGACTGTTCCTGGTTCCCCCCTTTTTCCTTAATGTACTTTCTCTTCCCACCCCGTGCCTGTACGTGCCTGGACCAGGGATCCTCCATGCCCCTTTTTAGAACAGATCTTTCATATATAGCACCCCTTTTACTATATATGGAAATGATATTCACAGATACTATAACCTAGACACAATTTTTAAAAAACAGTATAATATTCTAACTGTAGTACACAGAATAAATAAAAGGAAAGTAAATGCTATTTTAAAATAACCGTACGAATTCCAGTCACTGCTTCTAGGAGGGTGATTTGCTCCTTTTGAGAACCCCTGGCTTAGATGGCCAGCTTTTCCTGGGGCGCCTTTGAGTCCAAGGCTTGGGGGTTGTAACCCAGCCCCCTCCAGCCCCAGACCTTCCTCCTCTTTGGGGCTGTGGTTTAATTGCCTACATCCCCATCATCCTTGCCAATACTCCCTGCTCCCCAGGCCCCGCCCTTGCAGGAATTTCATTTTTACTCTTTCCAGCAGCTTCCAGAACTTCCTTCTGTCACTCACTCAGCTGTCGGTTAACAGATGTTTACAAAGCACCTACTTAGGCCAGGCCCGTGCTGGGGGTGAACTGGACATGCACGTGGGCATATTGACACTCATCTCACCCCACCCCCCCAAACCTCCTCTGCCCACTGATAACGTTCCGGGGTGTATCACTCCAGACCTTTCTGTGTGCATGTACTTACATTTGTATTTTTTTTAATACAGAAATGTGATCCCACAGTATAACGATCTGCCACTTGCTTTTTTCAGCTAACAGTGCATCCTGGAGGTTGCTACTTGACTTACACGTAGAAAAGGCTGGCTCTGCGTGTCCACCGCATATCACTCCGTGGTAGAGATGCCCCATAAGGTTTTACCCACCCCCCCCATTCATAGGTATTGAAGTCGTTTCCAGCTTTTCACCATTTTGCCAACAGCGCTGCAGGGAACGGCTTCGTATAACGGTCTTTTATCCTCGTGCAAGTGTGTCTCTAGGACAGATTCCTCAAAATGGAAATGTTAAGTCAAAGAGTGTACTTTTTTTTTTTTTTTTGCGGTACGCGGGCCTCTCACTGCCGTGGCCTCTCCCGCTGCGGAGCACAGGCTCCGGACGCGCAGGCCCGGCGGCCATGGCTCACGGGCCCAGCCGCTCCGCGCGGCACGTGGGATCTTCCCGGGCCGGGGCACGAACCCGCGTCCCCTGCATCGGCAGGCGGACTCCCAACCACTGCGCCACCAGGGCAGCCCAAAGAGTGTCCATTTTGACGCATGCCATCGAATTTTGCTTCAGCAAGGCTGTACCAATCTATATTCTGATGACGTGTCCATTCTCCTCTCCTATTTACCTGCTCTGGTTTTCCTCCAGTGTTTGCAGATAGTTTTTATATTTTGTCCCGAGTTTCTAGTTGTTTTCTGTGCGAAGGTTGGTCTGAGAGGAGCTACTCCCCTGTTACTGGAGCAGGACCTCCTGGTTTGTATTCCCGCAGTCCCGTGCCTGAGTTCCCCACACCCACATCCTCCACTGTCACTGACTGTAACATGCTCACCAATCTGAGGGTCGTGAATGACAGCAGTCTTTAAATGTACACATCTTTAATAACCAGTGAGAGTGAATGTCTTTCTGGAATATTCCCAGCCATATCTATTCCTCCTTCTGAAAATTACCTTTTTTTTCCTTTGCCCTTGGTCTGTTTCTTAAAAATTATAAGTGATCCATGGACTGCCTTTGCATACGTGGGCCAATAACCCTTTGCCTTTTACATATGTAAATAGGAAGGTTTAGGGGAGAAACATGTGCATGGAACTCTCTCCTTCTCTCTCTCCTCGATCTGCAGGCCCAGTGTTCCTGACTGAGGTCCGGCTCACATCGGCCCGGCGGGGACTCTCCCCACCAGCCTCCTGGGTGGAGACTTGCTCATGTCCCAGGGGCTACACGGGCCAGTTCTGTGAGTCCTGTGCTCTGGGATACAAGAGGGAGACACCACTGGGGGGTCCCTATGCCAACTGTGTTCCCTGCACCTGTAACCAGCATGGCACCTGTGACCCCAACACAGGTGAGTCTCCCTGCATCCCCCCCCCACCCCCTCAAGGCCACCTGGGCACACAGAACAGCGAGATGAGTACTGACCCTGCACGGGGTTAGCTATGAGCATGTAAGTGATCACGAAAAACAATACCGATAAAATGGTGTCCTCGAGTCCCTCCAAGTGCTAAGCACCTTTTTATACGCTATGTCATTGAATCCTGCAAAAACCCCTGGCGGTGCCGGGACCGTTCCTTTCCCATCTTGCAGATGAAGGACCTAAGGTGCAGGGAGGCTGCACGGCCAGTAGGTGGCAGAGCTACTTCTCGCACACGTTCAGTAGCAGCTATTCATCCCCACTTGCAGCAGAGGAAACCTGGGGAAAGACCTCGCCCGCAGTCACTGGGCAGGAGATGCCTGACAGGGGCTGGACGCTGGTCCCTCACACAGGAGGTGGGAGGGTCAGCACCCTGCTGCTCTCCTGGAGCTGCTGGGGTCTCTGAAAAGGGAATGCCTTTTCTCAGCTGGCAAAGTACAGCAACCTGGGAATGTACAGGCCAGCCAGGATGGGCATGTGCCGGCAACACGAGGGGCCTCCCCGCTTCTTGTGCCCATGGCAGGCATCACTAATCGAGCCAGATGAGACCTCATAGTCCTTCTATGCAGTGCTCCAGGAGAGTTGTCTCATGAGATGGGACTAGTTTGTCATCCCTCAGAGCCCCTCGCCTTGGCATGACTTCCAGCTCCATGTGGGCGAGTCCTCATCTGTAAAATGGGCACAGCAGCCACTGCTGTCCACCCTGGATGGGAGGAGGAGTAGTGAGCATGTGGGTGCTGGGCCAAGACAGGGACCAGTGGAGAGCAGGGCAGGTGTGACAGCTCCCCGTGGATGCCACCCCTGCTCCGCTTGTCCGCCCTGCGTCCCCTCTCTTCCTGCTCACCTCAGCCCCTGCTGGGTGCTGCTGGGGGCCTCTGGGAAGGGCTGGTCTTGCTTAACCCCTTCTCGGCCAGACTCCTCCCTTAGTCCCTGGCAGTGGCTCTGAGAAGACTCCAGATGCTGTGGGGCCGGAGAAGGGGGTTTGCAGAATCCGCTTCATTAGGAACCAGTGGGCAGAGACGGGGGTTCTGTTCTATGAGACCAGGAAGCCTCTGGAAACCCATAGACCCGCTAAACAGGAGCCTCATGTCAAGGCCAGAATCCTGGATCTGTGTCACTGTCCCTGAAGTTAAGAGGACACGGAGGCTTCAATTAAAAAGATAAAGAGGACACAGAGGAAGAGGAAAAGGAAAACTGTGACAGCGAATGCTAGCTGTATCGTCAGCTGGTTCGGTTACACGTTTTGGAATACAAAATAACAATGACGACAGTGATAATAATTGTGTGCAAGAGACTGTGCAGGGCACTTTGACTGCATGGCCTCATTGAATCCTGATGAAAACCTTTTAAGGTCAGAGGCATTTATGCCCATTTTTCAGGTGAGGACGTTGAGGCACAGGGGTGCCCAGGTTCACACGGTCAGTAAGTGGTGGATGTGAACCTGGGGTGGACGCTTCATCCCTGGGCTATGCTGCCTCCACCTTGGAAGTGTTCCCACCACTGTTCTGCCTGGGACGTGCTCTGTGACTCCCACGGCCAGAAGCCTGCCTGCTGTCTCTGGAGCGTCTGGGCTCAGGCAGTGGTGACCAGGTGCTTGTCTTGCCCCTCAGGGATCTGCCTATGCGGCCACCACACCGAGGGCCCGTCCTGTGAGCACTGCTTGCCAGGTTTCTACGGCAACCCCTTCACAGGCCAAGCCGATGACTGCCAGCCCTGTCCGTGCCCTGGACAGTCGGCCTGCATGACCATCCCAGAGAGCAGAGAGGTGGTGTGTACCCACTGCCCCCCGGGCCAGAGAGGTGAGTGGCTCATGCCCTGGGGCCCTGCCTCTGCCCGGCCTCCAGGAGTGAGTCCTGGGTCTGGAGTGTGACAGGTGACGGAGGGCCCAGCTTAGGGGTGACAGGCCTGACCTCTGGGGACACTGAGTCTCATAGCCCCATAGCCAGGAGCCCCGGGCTGAATGGGTTCCCGTCAGAACTTGGGCCACTGAACATACCACGTGGGATTTTGGAAATCCTCATGTCTGGTCCTGGCCCCGCAGAGCCTGGTTTAGTAGCTTAAGGCAGAGCTCAGGAATCCGTATTCCTATCAATTTTCCTGGCTGATTCTTTTACATAGTTAAGGTGGAAAACCTCTGATTGAACTTTCGGCTTTAAAAAAATGTCGTCGTGGGAATTCCCTGACAATCCAGTGGTTAGGACACGGCGCTTTCACTGCCGTGGGCCTGGGTTCGATCCCTGGTCGGGGAACTAAGATCCCGCAAGCCACGTGGCGCATCAAATAAATAAATAAATAAATAAAATTGTAAACTGTCACCAGATAATGTGTGAAGCAGAAGTCTCCCCATCCCCAGCTCTCTCCCTGTTCCTCATTCCCGCTCCAGGACTCAGAGTCATCCTAGGCAACTGATTTTTCTAAAAAAAACCCCAGCTTTATTGAGATATTATTCACATACCCTATGATTCACGCATTTAAAGTGTACAGTTCAATGGTTTTCAGTATATGCCATTATTGATTTTTTTTTTAATTTTGGCAAAATACGCATAACATAAAATTTGCCATTTTAACCATTTTTAAGTGTACAGTTCACTGGCCTTAAGTACATTTACAATGATGTGCAGCCATCACCACCATCCATCCACGGAGGTTTTTTTAATCATCCTAAATAGAAACTTCACACCCATTAAATTATTGTTTAATAGTTCCCCCTCCTCACAGCCCCTGCCATCCACCATTCTAGTTTCTGTCTCTGAATTTGACTATTCTGGGTACCTCACGTAAGTGGACTCAGACGGTGTTTGTCCTTTTGTGTCTAGCTTCTTTGTTTCTTCCTTCCTTCCTTCCTTCCTTCCTTCCTTCCTTCTTTTCTTGCTGCATTGGGTCTTCATTGCTGCGCGTGGGCTTCCTCTAGTTGTGGCGAGCGGCGGCTACTCTTCGTTGCGGTGCGCGGGCTTCTCATTGCCGTGGCTTCTCTTGTTGCAGAGCACAGGCTCTAGGTGCGCGGACCTCAGTAGTTGTGGCACGCGGGCTCAGTAGTTGTGTCTCACGGACTCTAGAGCGCAAGCTCAGTAGTTGTGGCGCACGGGCTTAGTTGCTCCAAGACATGTGGGATCTTCCCGGACCAGGGCTCGAACCCGTGTCCCCTGCATTGGCAGGCGATTCTTAACCAGTGCGCCACCAGGGAAGCCCTGTGTCTGGCTTGTTTCACTTGGCATAATGTTCCAAGGTTCCCAGACATCTGGTTCTACATCTAGTACCTGTGGCTGCATCAGGACAGCCCATTATCGTGGTCCTATCAGATGCCTGCTTTGTTGGGACCACTCTGAAAGCAGCTCCCTGATGGCTAGCAGGACTGGGGAGATGCCCCAGAGCAGGGGTCCCAAGAACTGAGGGAGTGAGGTCCCACCACAGGACCCTGCCCCCTGCCATCATGATGCCCCTCTGTTTCCATAAACTTCCCCACATTTTCTGGCTCCCTACCTGTGGCTTCCTCTGGTCTGCAACATGAGGGGATCCTACTCAGTGAGAGGGTGGACACTTAGAGAAGTTACCCAAGGGAGGATTCGGGGGCAGCAAGGCACTGCTGTCCGCAGAGGGAACCCTGGGAAGCCTCCCTGGGGTCGACGTTAGGCCCTGGGGCTTTGTACCAGTTCCTGTATTTATCACACCAGCATCCTTCAGGTCCCGCCAAAGCCCTCACCCAGACAGTCTGAGCCGGGACTGACCAGGGTCAAGCCCTGATCCCTGCCTGCCTCACTTGTCTACCATCCTGAACCCTTGCAGCTGCCTCCTACCTGGGAGCTGTCTTCACTGGGTCCCAAGCGGATGGCAGGTTAACTATGGGGACCACATTCTTCATCACCAGCTTCAATCTCCCCCTTGCCCGTCTTACTTTTTTTTTTGGCCGCGCTGCGCAGCTTGTGGGATCTTAGTTCCCTGACCAGGGATTGAACCCAGGCCCTCAGCAGTGAAAGCATGGAGTCCTAATCATTGAATTCCCCCCTCTTACTTCATTTCTATTTCAGAGTCCAGCCAGACACTAACCTCTACCTTGAACTCCATTCAGATTTTTCTTTTCCTTCCTTTTCTCTCTTTTTTTTTCATCTCTTCCTTAGTATTCCTCCTCTCTGTGTTCAAGGTTTACCTGCCTTTAGTCGCATTAACTTGATTTCAACTGGACCAATGAACTTTGAGGACGCAGGGAGCCCACAACTATCTTTCACCATGGCAGTAGCTATTTTTTAAATTATGAAGTTAGTAGTACTCATTGTAACAATGTAAACTGTTTGTAAACGTGTAAAGAGGAACATGAATGTGCATACAAGCAAGAAGACAACTTAAGATGCCCATCATCCTGTCACCCCCAGAGTCCCCCCAGTCGTCTGTTTCATGCAGATATACACAGAGAGGTAGGTGTATTTACCAAGAATGAACTGACACTGCATGAAGCACATGGTCCAAGTGTGTTCTTTTATGCCCCGTCTGTGTTCAGAGTGAATCTCCCAGGCCATGACCCTCCAAAAGCCTCCTCACACACCTTCTTTTCTGAGACTCACAGTAACCCTGGGGCTGGAAGATGAAGCTGCAGCCCCAGATCAAACCCAGGAAGCAAGGTGGGAGTATGAAATAAACAGTCCAAATGGAGTTCAGAAACCATGAGAAGCAGAAAAGGCAAAGGGGTCAGAAACCACAAATGAAAAAGCAACCACAGCTGAGGGAGGGAGGTGGGGGAGATGATGAGGTACAGAAGGATGAAGGGGGGGTGACAGTGATGTTCAAGACGGAGACAAGGAAGATGATGATGAAGGTGATGAATGATCAAGATGATGGCAATGATGAAGATGATGGATGATGATGATGACAGATGATCACGATGCAGATGACGTCGATAAAGGCGATGATGATGATAATGATGATGATGGTCAAGGCGCTGATGAAGAGAATGGTGATGATGATGAGAATGTGGGTGATGACATGATGACAAGGAGGGTGATGATGGTGAATGGGTGATAACAGCCACTACTGTTGAGCACCAGCCATGTGCCAGGATCTGTGCTAAGTGCTTTGCACAAGTGATCTCACCAAACCTTCTCAACAGTCCTTTGAGGTAGCTGCCATTATTGTCCCCACTCTGCAGACAAGGAGCCCAAGTTCAGAGAGGCACAGTGACTTGCTTAAGACCACAGAGCCTGCTAATGGCCCAGCTGGGCCCTGGCCCCAGGTCAGACTGACCCCAGAGGCCCTGCTCTGCTCCACAAGGAGACTTGAGGGAGCTCACTTTGGTTCATGCCCGGCCTCACCCCTCATGGACCCAGCAGGCTGGGTTCCTCAATCACACAAGGTTTCTCCTTTCCCAGGGTGGCGCTGTGAGATCTGTGATGATGGCTTTTTTGGGGACCCGCTGGGGCTCTCTGGGGCCCCCCAGCCCTGCCAGCTGTGTCAGTGCAGTGGGAACGTGGACCCCAACGCAGTGGGCAACTGTGACCCGCTGTCTGGCCGCTGCCTTCGATGCCTGCACAACACGACAGGTGCCCACTGTGAGAGCTGTGAGGAAGGCTTCTATGGGAGCGCCCTGTCCCCTCGGCCTGCAGACAAATGCGTGCGTGAGTAACCCCCTCCCAGACCCACAGGGTGGGGTGTGGTGGGCCCCTTCTCCACCAGATCCAGCTGGCTGCTCTGCAGGGCTGTGCAACCTTAGGCAGATTACTCACCTTCCCTGTTGCCTTGTCAAGAAAGTGTAAGGGTTTGCTCTTCTCTGAGGTCTTTCAGCCTCGGGATCTGATCAACTCTGACCCTGTGATTTTTTTATCTCACGCTCCACAGTTGGCATGCAAGACTGTCCCAGATGGCCTGCGGCACTTATCATGTTTGTCCTGCCCCTGGGCTTCCTGTCAGGCCGTGCCTCCCCACCAAGATGCTCAGCCCTCTGTGCCCTCTCCGAGGGCCACAGCGTGCGTGAGCTCGTGGGAGGCTTCCAGAAGTGCTGCAGGGTATTTGCCCCAGACTCACTTGCTCCTGAGCCCTTGCTGCATGTAGCACCTGTCGCCTCTTGTTTTATGGGGCCCAAGAGAGCAGAGACAAGTGGCCCAAAACAGTGGGAACAGAGGTCTGCCCCTAAGCCCCAACCAAGTTTCTGGCCTTCTCTCCAGCCTGTGGCGGCTCAGGGCAGGCTCAGAAGGGCCATCTGCCACCACGACTATTCTGGGCTGTCTCTCCAAGGACATAGAAAACGGGCTGAGACTTGAGCCCAGCCCTAGAACCTTTTTTCAGAGACTGCTTAGGAGTCTGAGCTGAAAGTGAGTCATCTCTGTGGGCTCCCCGTCTTCTCTGCCTCTCCTGGGTCCCCAAAGGTTGAACAGATGATCAGCATGGTTCCCCACCACCCTTTCCTGCTCCCACCCCCAGCCTGCAGCTGCGACCAAGCGGGCTCAGTCGGCGAGCAGAGACCCTGTGACCCAGTGACCGGCCAGTGCACCTGCCTGCCTCACGTGACCGGACGGGACTGTGGGCACTGCAGCCCTGGCTTCTACGACCTCCAGCCTGGCAGGGGCTGCCGGAGGTGGGTGGGGCGAGGCTGTGGGTGCCCTTCCCCTGGGTGTTTCTCCAGGATGGAAGAAGTCGCCAGGGAGCCTCCAGAGAGGGGCCTGGCTTGGCATGTGTCGTCCCAGGCCCACTGCCAGGTACACTGTGCCCTGCACTGAAGGGGGACAAAGGGACGGTCCCTTGGGGGTCAGATTCATGGCCCTGCCAACCCAGGATGCAGGCCAAGAGCATCCCTAAGGGATGCCCAGGTGGGCAGGCGCTGGTTGGGCCTCTGATTCCCTTCTCGGTAACTCTGTCGCTCTGTGACCTTTTGGGCCACAGCAGCAGCTTAGATACCATCTTTAGGGAGCAGTGGAGAACTCCAGGGAAATGCCCAGTGAAGCAAACAGGTTTCTTCCTGAACAAACTTCTCAGGCCTTTAATATGCTAATTGCACTGTGACTTTCCAACTGAAGGGTATAGTCCAAATGTATATATGTCTCCATACCTTTTTTGGGGGGGTGGGGGGAGCATTTTATGAGACTGTGCTTTCCAGGGCACAGCTTGAGGGAAACTGTTTGACATGTGCAGACACAGAGATGGGGCCTTGTCAACAGAGGCGTGATCACCAGCCCTAGCCGGCAGAGGTGGGACTGGGAATGGCCCAGAGCTGGACTCAGACCTGGGTCCCTTCCCTTATCGTAGCTGCAAGTGCCACCCGCTGGGCTCCCAGGAGGACCAGTGCCACCCCAAGACCGGGCAGTGCCCCTGCCGTCCAGGCGTCGAGGGCCAGGCCTGCGACAGATGCCAGCTGGGTTTCTTCGGCTTCTCCATCAAGGGCTGCCAGGGTAAGGAAGCCGGGTCCTTCCCAGGCTGCCTAGAGAGTGAGGCTTCTAGGAAAGAGGACCAATGGGGAAGATGGCCATGCAGCAGGAGAGAGATCAGATACGGGGCAGGTTTTCTTAGAGCAGCCATGGGAACATGGAGTGAGTGAGCAGAGCAGAAGACAGCATAGGAGGCCAAGAATCTAGTCCTAGACTCCACTGCTAAATCCCTGTGTGCCTGGGGCCATCAGGTCACCTCTCCGGGCCTCATTTGTATGGTTAGACTGCGTGGCAGTCCTAAACCTGACTGGTCCTCAGATCCCAGGGGCACTGAAATAACTCAGGCTCTCAGCCGTCAACTCCAGCCTTCTGAATCAGTCTCCCAGGAAGGACCCAGGAATGTACTTGAGCTGCCCACGGGGTCTGAAGCAGCCAGGCGCAAGGGTGCAGGGGACCTGGGGGTTCCAGTGTGGGGTGGCCATCAGGGCACCCAGCGCCGTCTGCCCCGCCCCCCAGCCTGTAGGTGCTCCCCGCTGGGCGCCGCCTCGGCCCAGTGTCACGAGAACAGCACGTGTGTGTGCAGGCCCGGCTTTGTGGGCTACAAGTGTGACCTCTGCCAGGACAACTCCTTCCTCACGGCCGGTGGCACACACTGCCAGGAGTGCCCGTCCTGCTACGCCCTGGTGAAGGAGGAGGTGAGCCCTCCCATCCAGGCCCTGCCCAGGGCCGCCCCACCTTCTCTTCATTTCACGCCCCCAGTGAGCACCAGCTCTGTGCTGGGCACCGGGAAATGCCCACTTACCCACAGCTCTCAGGCCTTCTGAGACCACCGGCCACCTCCTTCTTGTGCCCACCCAGCCATCTGGCCCAGCCCCACCTCTGCCCTTCCCTGGCTCCTGAGCGGACAGGAGAAAGGTGGCTTCTGTTGCATGTCCTTCCCCACCACCCAGACCGAGGTCTCACACTTTCTCAAGTTCAATGGGAACGAGACCACAGAAGGCCCTTTGGGGGAGGGTCAGGAGGAGGGCAATGCCCATTATGGGACACAGGTAGTATCTCAGGCAGGGAGGTGGTGTCATGCAGGGATCAGGAGCATGACCTCTGGGGTTCCCCTACCCTCCCCCAACCCTGTTAGTTGTCACATGCCCAGGCAGGTGACAGCCTTGGTAAGTTTCAGTGTGTGTCTCCTACTCCAAAATAAAATAGTTCAGGCCTGCAGCCCCTTAACCTGAAACCAGTGATGGTTCTGTAGAAAGATAGGATGGTGTGTGCTGAATATTAGGTACCACTCCCAGCGGTGCCTGGGCCAGCCCCCTAATCAAACCCAGTGATACATCTGCAGGAAAACAGGTGAATAGTCACACCAAGGGGGTAAATCAAGATCATAAGTAGCCTTGTTCAGAGCAGTTTTGTTTCTAAATGAGTGCAGGGTTTTTTCAACCTGATTTTGCTACCCAGTAAGGAATGGAAATCTTTGCAGGTTTTCAGAGCATTTTGGACTTTGGAATCGAGGAATGGGCTCAGGACCTATATCCCCTGCCTCTTAGGGTGGTTACAAGGTGAATGTGAGCTGGTGCGTGGCCAGCAGTCGCTCATACCTGGCTCCTAGCAAGTGCTCCGTAAATGCGTGTATTGTTCATATGATTGAAAGAATGGGGCTAGGAGACGTTGCAAAGCACACTCACTCAGCCTGCAAGGATCACATGCCTGCTCTGTGCCAAGTCCTGGGAACATAGCATAACAGACAGAAATTCTCCTGGGGGGCTTCCCTGGTGGCGCAGTGGTTGAGAGTCCGCCTGACGATGCAGGGGACGCGGGTTCATGCCCCGGTCTGGGAAGATCCCACATGCCGCGGAGCAGCTAGGCCCGTGAGCCATGGCTGCTGAGCCTGCGCGTCCGGAGCCTGTGCTCCGCAACGGGAGAGGCCACAACAGTGAGAGGCCCGCGTACCGCAAAAAAAAAGAAAAAGAAAAAGAAAAAGAAATCCTCCTGGGGCTTCCCTTCCCATCCCTCCCTCAGCAGGGCAGAGGTGTGGTCGGCTGAATGCCAGCAGGTGCTGTGGATATGAGAAGGGAAGGGACAGCTCCAAGGACAGGGTGGGCAGAGTTGGTTCTCAGAGGTCCTGTGTGTGCTTAGCTTTGAGGCCCAGGGTAGGATCGGAGAAGGCAATGCTCGGGGCGGGCAGGCCAGGCAGAGGTTTCCAAGCAGGACTTTAGGCCACCAGCCTCACACACCGTTCCTTCCCTGACCCCTCCAGGCTGCTGAGCTGAAGGCCAGACTGACCCTGATGGAAGGGTGGCTGCAGGGGTCAAACTGTGGCAGGCCCTGGGGACCACTGGACATTCTACAGGGAGAGGCCCCACGGGGGGACGTACACCAGGGCCATCCCCTGCTGCAAGGTACAGTGGGAGAGCAGAGTGGGAGACTGGGAGGCAAGGGGAGGGGGCTGGCTGGTCAGAAGCCCCCTTTGGAGCCCTTCAGTCTGACCTCAGTCGGGTTCACCCCTAGGAGAACTCACTTGCTGGGAGAGCCTGTCAGACCTCCCCAACTAAGTGAGTTCCTCCTGCTATGCAGTCCTGTCATCCCACGGACCTCTTTCAATATCCCTCACCCAGTTGTATTTTGTTGCTTTATTAATATCAGCCTCTGACTGTAGCCTCGGTCCCCATGCCCCCTGCGCCACCTAGACTGTACCCATAAGCTCAGTGAGGACAGGGGGTGGGTTTATTCGTTGAGTCAGTCCCTCAACAAATAATCATCGGGGCGCTGTCCCAGGTGCTGAACAGGTAAAGTTCCTGCCGTCTTTTGACTGTTGGCCGTTTTGCTCACTGCTGTATCCCCAGCATAGAAAATAAATGGGTAAATAAGAAAAAAGATTGTCATTAAGTCCACGTGGAATTTGTCCCTGGGACACTGAAATTTAGGAGCACCAGACGTGAATTGCTTATTTTGTTAAATTTCACGTTCACAAGCACCTGTACTCCTGTAGCAGCCATAGGTGAGCTGAGCACCTGTTTGCAAGACTAACAAAATAGCGAGATATCAGATGCTGTGCGCTGAAACTCCCACACTGAGCCACGCTACGAATTACAGAGCTGACTCAAGGCGGGTTTTACTGCTGTCTCAGGTTCAGGAATTGTTCGCTGTGGATCTAGAAGGCCTGGATTCCTTCCAGTCCTTCCTCTGTGGCTGGCTTCCTGTGTGTGGGACCTTGGGTCATGACTTGCCGTCTCTGGGCCTCAGCCTTCGCATCTGTAAAATGGAGAGGCCTTTCCTTTGGAACCAGTGCTCAGGCCTGGTGATGGAGTCAAGCTGTGCCCAGGAGTAGAGGACACAGATGGGGCCCCTTGAAGTTGCAGGCTTTATTGTGAAATCTCGACTTCTCTGTGACTCCTGGACTCTGGGCTTTCTGCAGGGGCCCAGGAAGACTTCCTGGAGCAGGTGACAGGCCTTGAGGGTGCTGTGAAGGCTGCCCGAGAGCAGCTGCAGGCACTGAGCAGGAAAGCCCACTGTGCCCAGGCCAGAGCTGAGAAGACCTGCGTCCAGCTGGCAGACCTAGAGGCGGTGCTGGAGTCCTCAGAAGAGGAGATTCTGCATGCAGCCACCATCCTTGCATCTCTGGTACCCCAAGGGACCCCTCCCCAACTCCTCCCCTCTACTGAGCCTGGGGCATGCCCCCACCCCCTGCTTTGGGAGGCTCAGTTTTCTCATCTGCAAGATAGCGGTCACACAGTGCCTCCTCTGCTGATGCAGTGAGATAATATTTGCAAAGAACGAGCCGTATTCCAAGTAGACAGTGAATGCCCAGCAAGTGGTCGGCGTCGTTATTGTTATTTCCAAGCTCTAGGGCTCCGCCCACCGGATGCTGACTTTGTAGCTGGCTCTGAGCATTTATGAAATAAGTGGCATGGCCCAGGTCTGCCCAACAAGTTAGCCAGATGTGGGCCCTGCCCTTCAGGAATGGACCATCAGTTTCCTCCTATTTCTCTCTCTTCTCTAAAGGCGATTCCTCAGGAAGGGCTCAGCCAGCCCACCAACTGGAGCCATCTGGCCATAGAGGCCCGTACCCTCGCCAGGAGGTGAGCCCCCATGCCCTGGGAGCATTGTGAGGTCCTGGCCACACAACCATGAAGGGAGCCCAGCCCTTCTGCTGGGGGCTTCCAGGGTCAGGGCCAGCCCCATAGGTATCCCCACCCCAGGAGTTGGAATCACTTGAGTACAGAGCTGAAGTGTCTTCGCCATGGGAAGGAGAGGTGTGCAAGGAAGGCATGAGATGCAGGGGTCGGGGTGGGGGGTCTGCCGACATTGGTCGACTGAAGGCATCTTAGAGCCTTCACTGGCTTTTTTTTTGTAACAGCTTTACTGAGATATAATTCACATGCCATGCAAGTCAACCAGTTCAAGTACAAGTCAGCGGTTTTCAGTATATTCACAGAACTGCACAGAATATGCACAGAATTGTGCAACCATCTCCACAATCTGTTTTAGAACAGTTTCCTTAGCCCAGAAACAGGCACCCATTAGGCATCGCTCCCCATTCATCTTCACCCTCCTCAGCCCCTGGTAACCACTAATCTACTTTCCGTCTCTATAGATTTGCCAGTCTGGACGTTTCATATAAATGGAATCATACACACGGTCTTTTGTATCTGGCAAAATATTTTCAAGGTTCATGCATATTGTACCATATATCAGTATTTCATTTTTTTAAAACCCAATAATATTCCATTGTACGAATATGCCACATTTTGTTTATCCAGTCATCCGTTGATGGACATTTGGGTTGTTTCATCCACTGCTTTTAAGAAGCAGCTTAAGATCCTAAAGACACAAGCTCTGAAGCAATTTGTCCCTCTAGCTGTACTTTAGGGACTGTAGACCCATTTTACAGATGAGAAGAGAGACTCAGAGAAGTAAAGTGACTTGCTTAAGGACACGGGGTTAGAAGTGATAGAGCCAGATTCAAACCCAGGCTGTCTTTTCTACGCTCTCTTTATTAGGGTAACCATATAATTTATTGTCCAAGCTGAGATTTTATGTGTGATCAAAGGCCCTATTATTTATTATGCCAGGACAACAGGCATAAACCCTAAATAACAGGAGCAGGGGCACGGGTCCCCTTCCCATCAGTCTTCACTGTGCGTCAGGCAGAGGGAGGACAGGAGCCTGGCACCCGTGGCTGTACTCCCTTTGGGACGACAAGAGGCCCATGTGGGGGTGGGGGGTGGGGGGTGGGCCCAGGCCCCTGTATGTCAGCCCTTGGTGATGGTCGGGCGGGTATTGTCATACAGTCACAGGGACACCACCACCAGGATTGAGGCCACTGCTCGGAGGGCCCTGCTCACCTCCAACAGCAGTTATGCGCTTCTCTGGAGTCTGGTGGAGGGGAGAACAGCCCTGGAGGCCCAGCAGCAGCTAGAGGACAGGTGAGGAGACCTCCCAGGTGTGGGTAGGAGCTTGGGTTGGCTTCCTGAAGCTGGCAGGGCCTGGTCAGAGGCCGCTGGTTCCAGAACTGGCTTCCTTCCCTTGAGTCCTGATGTTCTTTAGGGTGGGGTGCGATGCCTAGGGTCTTAGGCCTGCTTGGGGGTGCATTAGAGGAACCCATGCATGCCGGGGTGCAGCTTAGCCTCTGGAGAGAAGGAATGAGAACCTAAACAAGGAGGTTCCAGATCAGCTCATCCTCGGCCCCCTGAAGCTCCCCTGCCCCTCCCCAGACCCCTGGGGAGCTCCTGTCAGGCACCAGCTTTCTTCTTGGCCTCTGCTTCTCTGCTGTGGGTGGCCCCCTTGTATCCAGCTCATTCAGAGGGTCAACGGAGACCCACCAACGTCTCACTGAGCCCAAGTGGATTTCCTAGATGAGAGAATCTGATTGGCCCAGCTTGGGTCAGGTGGCCAGTCCTGAGCCAATCGGTATGGCTGGGTGGATCACATGACCCACTCCCAGGGGCAGAGGGCTGGCTCTCTGTAAAGGGATGAGGGATGGGAGGCACCCTGGTGGGGGGTGGGGGGGGGACGGGGTATTTCTCTCTCTTCTCTAAAGGCGATTCCTCAGGAAGGGCTCAGCCAGCCCACCAACTGGAGCCATCTGGCCATAGAGGCCCGTACCCTCGCCAGGAGGTGAGCCCCCATGCCCTGGGAGCATTGTGAGGTCCTGGCCACACAACCATGAAGGGAGCCCAGCCCTTCTGCTGGGGGCTTCCAGGGTCAGGGCCAGCCCCATAGGTATCCCCACCCCAGGAGTTGGAATCACTTGAGTACAGAGCTGAAGTGTCTTCGCCATGGGAAGGAGAGGTGTGCAAGGAAGGCATGAGATGCAGGGGTCGGGGTGGGGGGTCTGCCGACATTGGTCGACTGAAGGCATCTTAGAGCCTTCACTGGCTTTTTTTTTGTAACAGCTTTACTGAGATATAATTCACATGCCATGCAAGTCAACCAGTTCAAGTACAAGTCAGCGGTTTTCAGTATATTCACAGAACTGCACAGAATATGCACAGAATTGTGCAACCATCTCCACAATCTGTTTTAGAACAGTTTCCTTAGCCCAGAAACAGGCACCCATTAGGCATCGCTCCCCATTCATCTTCACCCTCCTCAGCCCCTGGTAACCACTAATCTACTTTCCGTCTCTATAGATTTGCCAGTCTGGACGTTTCATATAAATGGAATCATACACACGGTCTTTTGTATCTGGCAAAATATTTTCAAGGTTCATGCATATTGTACCATATATCAGTATTTCATTTTTTTAAAACCCAATAATATTCCATTGTACGAATATGCCACATTTTGTTTATCCAGTCATCCGTTGATGGACATTTGGGTTGTTTCATCCACTGCTTTTAAGAAGCAGCTTAAGATCCTAAAGACACAAGCTCTGAAGCAATTTGTCCCTCTAGCTGTACTTTAGGGACTGTAGACCCATTTTACAGATGAGAAGAGAGACTCAGAGAAGTAAAGTGACTTGCTTAAGGACACGGGGTTAGAAGTGATAGAGCCAGATTCAAACCCAGGCTGTCTTTTCTACGCTCTCTTTATTAGGGTAACCATATAATTTATTGTCCAAGCTGAGATTTTATGTGTGATCAAAGGCCCTATTATTTATTATGCCAGGACAACAGGCATAAACCCTAAATAACAGGAGCAGGGGCACGGGTCCCCTTCCCATCAGTCTTCACTGTGCGTCAGGCAGAGGGAGGACAGGAGCCTGGCACCCGTGGCTGTACTCCCTTTGGGACGACAAGAGGCCCATGTGGGGGTGGGGGGTGGGGGGTGGGCCCAGGCCCCTGTATGTCAGCCCTTGGTGATGGTCGGGCGGGTATTGTCATACAGTCACAGGGACACCACCACCAGGATTGAGGCCACTGCTCGGAGGGCCCTGCTCACCTCCAACAGCAGTTATGCGCTTCTCTGGAGTCTGGTGGAGGGGAGAACAGCCCTGGAGGCCCAGCAGCAGCTAGAGGACAGGTGAGGAGACCTCCCAGGTGTGGGTAGGAGCTTGGGTTGGCTTCCTGAAGCTGGCAGGGCCTGGTCAGAGGCCGCTGGTTCCAGAACTGGCTTCCTTCCCTTGAGTCCTGATGTTCTTTAGGGTGGGGTGCGATGCCTAGGGTCTTAGGCCTGCTTGGGGGTGCATTAGAGGAACCCATGCATGCCGGGGTGCAGCTTAGCCTCTGGAGAGAAGGAATGAGAACCTAAACAAGGAGGTTCCAGATCAGCTCATCCTCGGCCCCCTGAAGCTCCCCTGCCCCTCCCCAGACCCCTGGGGAGCTCCTGTCAGGCACCAGCTTTCTTCTTGGCCTCTGCTTCTCTGCTGTGGGTGGCCCCCTTGTATCCAGCTCATTCAGAGGGTCAACGGAGACCCACCAACGTCTCACTGAGCCCAAGTGGATTTCCTAGATGAGAGAATCTGATTGGCCCAGCTTGGGTCAGGTGGCCAGTCCTGAGCCAATCGGTATGGCTGGGTGGATCACATGACCCACTCCCAGGGGCAGAGGGCTGGCTCTCTGTAAAGGGATGAGGGATGGGAGGCACCCTGGTGGGGGGTGGGGGGGGGACGGGGAGGGGTGTTCCAGCAGTACCCATGGTAGGGGGAGCTGGGTGGGGCAGGGTGTGGACAGCTGGACAGGAAAGCTGTCCTGGTTGATTGATTACAGCATTTCAGGGAGAAAGGGCCCCAGAACAGTCATGCAGCCCAGAGGTCTCCATTTACCTGGAGAGCAACATGCCCAAGGTCACTCAGGGGCATCAGGGCCTGGGCCGCTATCCCTCCAACAACACCAGGCATTTTCCTCCTCATCATTCATCCAGAGGAGCCAAACATTTGCACAACATGTGATTCTTAAGTGGAAACCAAGCGGGAGCTCCTTCAGAAAAGCGTGATTGAATTAAGTGAATGAGGAAACAAGAATGCAGTCCCTCGGCTGCCTTTCCCATTCATTAGACAGCTGCCGAGCAGCAGCCAGTTTCCGAGGCCAGCTGCTGGGTACCAACTCCGCAGACGGCGGTTCTGCCCGGGAAGTTGCCAGAGCCCCTTCAACTGGGAGCTCCACGGGGGTGGGCCGGGACAGCAATGGGGAGGGATGGTCTGCGTCCTGCTCCTGGGCCATCCTGCCTCTGTCTCCTCCCAGGTACCAGGAGGTACATGCGGCCCAGAGGGCGCTGGGCATGGCCGTGGCAGAGGTGCTGCCTGAAGCTGAGAGGGTGCTGGCCGCCGTGCAGCAAGTCAGCGCAGATGCAGCCCAGCGCCTGGCCTCACTGGCTGCCCCTGCAGCACCGGTCAGCTCAGCTGTCCTCGGAGCTCTGCATGCGGTGGTTGTGAGGGAGAATGTGGCAGCTGGGAAACCAGTGCGGCCCAGGCAGAGGCAGAGGATGTGGCTCATTTCTAACTCTCTAGCAGTTGATTAAAAGATCTCAGCCAATCTTTGTTGTTGGTTATAATGATAATATCAAGGCCGAGGCCTCTTATTCATCATAGTGGCATTGGCAATGACACCAGACGGACATGGGGCCAAATCCCAGCTCCGCCACCCTAGCTCTGTGACCTTGGCAAGGGACCTCGCATCCCTGTGCCTCGGTTACTTTGTCCATCTGTCGGCTAGAGCTCACGCATTTGGTTATTTCAGGGCTGCATCCATGAGGGGCTGGAGGGGATTCGTGAGCAATGCCCTCATCCTCTATGTGCCTGTCACCCTATGCTGCTTACCTCTGGATAAATCAGCTCATCAAGTCTTCTCAGTAATCCTGAAATTCCAAAACTTGGGAGCTAAACTTTAACAAAAAAGACTAAACTTACAGAAATGCATCTGGGGCCCAGCCTGCCCAGGACTGACTGCTCCCAGGCTGTTTATGCAGAGGGTGTTTGATCCTCCCACTGTGTGTGACGAAGGAAAATGTAGGTGGTGACACGTCTGGCCCTGAGCACTGGCCCCAGATACTGCTGAGGGCGCTAGGTAATAAGCAGTCGCCACAGGAAACTCTGAATTCAGAAGTACGTCCGGCCCCAAGGTTTCAGCTAAGGGATTGTGAGCCTGGGGAAGGAGACACAGGTCAGGGAGGTTAGCTGGGTTGCCTGAGTCTGCGCTTCTAGAAATTGCTGGTGCTAGAATCAGACCTCAAGTGACAGCTTCCGCAGTTTGGCTTCTCCCGCCCTGGCCCCTCTGCTTCTTAGGGTCCACGTGCAGCCCTGCCCCCCACGGTCCCTGCCCCTGGCCTTCTCCCACCCAGTAGACGACCTGCCCCTCGGACCTTCCCATCAGGCCTTGTCTGAGCCCTCCATCTCCCGGCAGCCTCAGAAGTCCCAGGCCAGGACCCTGGGCCTGAAGGTGCAGGCCCTGGAGAAGACGGTCACATCGAGAGAGCGCGTGGTCACCGAGGCTGCCCGGGCCCTCCAGGCCACCGCCCAGGCCGTGCTGCACAAGACAGAGCCCCTTACGCAGGTGGGCTCTTGTCCTGTGAGGCAGCACCTGGAGAAAGTTGGGGCTGCCCCAGGCATGATCTGGGCTCATTCTTTCCACCCCGCCAGTGCCTTCCCCCAAATTCCGGAGAACCTCAGTTAGCTCGTGCCAAGGCAGGAGGTCCTGATTTCCCGAGAAGGAGTAAAGGTGTGAGAGGAGGCAGGATGGACAGGCAGACGGAGCCACGCCTACCACCCTTACTCAGTGTTAATTACAGCTGGGATGGGTCTCATTCACTTATTCTTGCATTCATTAGTTCACTTGCCAGATATTTTAGCGAGCACGTACGTTGCTCTAGTGCTAAACCCCACTGTTTGGCGTTTACAGCCCAGGAGGGGAGGCAAGACTAAATAATCAGGGAATTCAAGAATTATGGAGTGAATTGAGCCCCAACCAGTGGTTTCCAACCTATTAAAGTATAAGCACCCCTTCAAGTTTTTTTCTTTTTAACTTTCCATCTTTCATCTAGACTTAGAAAAAGGTTGCGAAGAAAGCACAAAGAAGTCCCATATATCCTTCACACAGATTCTCCTTCTGTTAATGTTTTACCCAGCCACCTTACAAGGATCAAAATAAGGAAGTCAACATTTTATAATACAATGAGCTAATCTACAGACCTTATTCAAATCCCAGCAGTGGCTTATCCCGTAGCCATCTTTTTTTGGGGGGGTGGGGGGGGCACGGAAGATCTTAGTTTCCCGACCAAGGATCAAACCCGTGCCCCGTACGGTGGAAGTGCAGAGTCTTAACCGCTGGACCGCCAGGGAAGTCCCCTGTATCCATCTTTATTTTCCTTTTAAAGACAAGAAACAAGGCAGAAAGCTGTTGCCTGCGTCCGAACAGCTGGGCCTGGTGCCTGTCACATACTGGGAGAGCTGTGCTGTGTCAGGGCCCCATGGGGTGGTATCCATTGGTTTAGTCCATCACCCTGGTCTGGGGCACAGATGAGGCCACAGCAGAGTCAGGACCAGACCCCAGTGCGCAGTGCCCCAACACAGCGCCTCCTACCTTCCTCTCCGTCCTGCTAGGCATTTGGAGTAAGACTTAAGACACAAGGGATCCCAGGGCAGCATCTGGTGGCTCTTCGAACCCACATGATTGCGACTTCCCTGGCGGTCCAGTAGTTAAGACTTCTCCTTCCGATGCAGGGCATGCAGGTTCCATCCCTGATCGAGGAGGTAAGATCCCACATGCCTCGCAGCCAAAAAAAACCAAAGCATAAAACAGAAGCAATAGTGTAACAAATTCAATAAAGAGTTCACCAAAAGAATTTTTTCAAACCCCGCATGACTGATTGATGGATGGATTGAAATTCGCATCACATAAAATGACCCATTTGAAAGTGTACAACACAGGGGCATTTAGCACATTCCCAATGTTGTGCAAGCACCACCTCTGTCTAGTTCCAAAACATTCATCACTCCAAAGGGCGACTGCTTACACCCATTAAGCAGTCGCTCTTCATTCCTCCCTCCCCCCAGCCCCTGGCGACTGCCCACCTGCTTTCTGTCTCTATGGATTTACCTAGTTCAGACATTTCATATAAAAGGAATCGTGCCATATGTGACCTTTTGTGTCTGGCTGCTTTCACTTACCATAGTATTTTCCAGGTTCATCCACATCGTAGTATATGTCAGCCCTTCGTTCCCTTTCGTGGCTGAAGAATATTCCATTATGTGGATACACCACATTTTGTGTATCTATTCATCCATCAAACCCATATTCTTTAAGTATCCAGCCTTTTTTAGTGGCAAAATGGGGAAGAAACTAATTTTCTTTGAGTAAAAGTTTTATAATAAACAGATTCACTGATGCAGCAGCATCCTGACAAGAAATTTTCCGTTGTCCATCTTCCTTTTAGTTCTTAGGTTCCAGTTTTCCTCTGAGCTTTTGTGAGACAGGTAACTTCTTGGGAGAGATATTCAAGGTTTAATATTGGTATAATAAAACAAATCAGATGTTCCTGGTAAACAGCATAATTCAGTGTCAGAGTTTTGGTGATGTTTTGGGACCTTGTACATGTGGGTTTGGTGCCCGCCTGAACCCCTCTCTACCCAGCACACCTCCAGCATCACCTGACCAGCCTCTCTCTTCTCTCTCCAGCTGCACCGGGAAGCCAGAGCTGCCCTGACCCGGGCTTCCTCATCTGTCCAGGCTGCCATGGTGACTGTCACAGGAGCCAGGACTCTGCTGGCTGACCTAGAAGGTATGTGTGCCCTGCTTAGCCCCAGGCTCATGTTTGCACAGATGCCCATGACAGACACCAGGACTCATGCCTCAGCTAGGGCAGACTTGGCTGCAGAGGACAGAAGTCCAGTCATGTGGGCATAAGCCAAGGAGACCATTCCCTCTGCCTCTAAGGACCTCCCTCTCCTGTGGCTGCTTTGTCCCTCCCCATCTCACATACCGCTCACCAGGTTCTTGCCTACGTGGCCATCCATCATCAGACCACACACGCAGAGCCCCTCAGGACCAGATGGGAAGAGAATCTGATGCCATCAGCTGTCCATCCCTGATCTAGGCCACTCTGGCTGGGGGTCTGGTTACCTGGTACAAATATGGCTGCCCTGGTCCAATGTCCAGTGGGGCTATGGGAAGGGATGCAGCCTTTCTCTTTAGAACGTGGGTTGATGGGTTGATGCCAGTACAGGTCTCTTTTGAGCTGTAGGAAAATGAGGCCAAGGGCCCCCATTTTACAGTTGGGTAGACCAAGAAAGGAAATTTTACTGAATGAAATGTGGAACAGCCCCTAGCCTGTAGTTGCTCTGCCAAGAGAGGATCTGTGTTCAAACAAGTTTAGGAAATGTCACATGCTATAGATCCTGCTGAGGCCTTGCAGTGCACACCTGAGAATATTAAAGGCTCTGAGAACTCCTTCAATAAAGAAACCGGGTTCACTGTATGTAAACTTAATTCCCCTTAGCATTTATCAACACCCTGTAGAATCAGGGCTCCCCAGTGTGCACTTGTTTTCTTTTTTTGGCTGTGTTGGGTCTTTGTTGCTGCGCACAGGCTTTCTCTAGTCGTGGCGAGTGGGGGCTGCTCTTTGTTGCGGTGCGCGGCTTCTCACTGCAGTGGCTTCTCTTGTTTCAGAGCACGGGCTCTAGGCGCGAGGGCTTCAGTAGTTGTGGCATGCGGGCTCAGTAGTCGTGGCTCGCGGACTTTAGAGCTCAGGCTCAGTAGTTGTGGCGCACGGGCTTAGTTGCTCTGCAGCATGTGGGATCTTCCTGGACCAGGGCTCGAACCTGTGTTCCCTGCACTGGCAGGCGGATTCTTAACCACTGTGCCACCAGGGAAGTCCCCCCAGAGTGCACTTTAAGAAATGCCAATTTTGTGTACAGGAAGCAAAGTAGATCTAACTTTTGGATTATCTTCATAGAATGATTATGTAGTATTATGTCCCTGATATTAGAAGGCTTTATTCTTTTTTTAAAAAAATATTTATTTATTTATTTGCTGCATCGGGTCTTGGTTGCAGCACACAGGATATTTCATTGCGATGCGTGGGCTTAGTTGCCCCGAGGCACGTGGGATCTTAGTTCCCCGCCCAGGGATCGAACCCACGTCCCCTACACTGGAAGGTGGATTCTTAACCACTGGATCACCAGGGAAGTCCCCTTGATTCTTTTTAAATTTTGACTTTGTCTACTATAATCAGTACTCCTTAGGATAAATTTCCCTTAGAATTTTATCTGAAAGGAAATGAAAAAGTCTCTCTTTCTATATAGAAGGAAAGTACTTATTAGATAATAAAAACCTATGTGAATTGTAGAATTTCTCTTTTTGTCTTGGCTGCTAGGGGCTAAAAGGTAAATAGTGCATTTGGTACTTGCACCGTCATTATCCTAATTTTCCGGCACTTCTCGCTCTTCCTCATCCCCGTAGTTACATATGACCTTTGGTTTATCATTTTAATGGTCCAGTTTTTGGTCTGTTCATCACGATAAGCTGCCTCAAAGCCTATTTAGAAATGCGTGGTATGTAAAAACAAAGAACTTAATGGATCTTGCTGTGTACTGTGCTATAGCTCCCATCTCTACCACTGGCCCAGGCATTACCCACCATGCAATTCTGTGACTTTAGTAAGTATCATAATATAACATGAATCTTTACACTCACAGGGCAGTATGTCTCACTCATTTGTTTTCCCTGGGTGAGCCTGAGAAGTTTACACACAGATCTCATGCATCTCATACCTCTGCTCACGTTGTCCAAGGGTCTGGGGTTGGTCAGACATCTGGCAGTGACCACCCAATGGGCTGTCCAGGCATGAGCCCAGCCCTCCTGACACAGCCTCGGCCGGCTTTACAGGAATGAAGCCAAGGTTTCCTCAGCCCAAGGACCAGGCCGCACTGAGGAGGCAGGCAGCCATCGTCCAGGACAGGCTCCTTGCAGAGCCCAAAAAGAAGACCAAGCTGGTGGAGAGGATGCTGGGAAATGCGGCATCTATCTCCTCCAGTGCCAAGAAGAAGGGCAGGGAAGCCGAGCTGTTGGCCAAGGACAGTGCCAAGGTCAGGGCCACGGATGTGACTCCAGGGGCATCCCTGCCTTCTGAGCCTGTGGGAGGACTGTCATGGAAGAGGTGCCCTTCTGTAGGGTAAACGCCCCTTCTGTGTGCAATGCTGAATACTCTGCACTTACTAAGGGGTCCCAGGCTCTGAGCTCTGGAGCTTCACGCGGGTGACCCTGTTAATTCCGCGTGAAATAGATGTCACTGCTGTCCCCATGGGACAGGTGAGGACCCTGACGCCCAGCCCAGTTCAGTAACATAACATAACCAGGACTCACACCTCGGTCTGTTTGGCTCTACTCCCTAAACTTCTAGACTTTTCTTGTTTAATTCGGGCCAAATTTGAATCAATAGGCATCTTCCCAGCACCGTCACTCAGGGCCCAAGTGAACTGTCTCTGCAGCTTCCTAGAGACAGTGCTGGATTGAAGGAGTCCCCAGGCTTGCTTTCTGGTCCTGCCATTTGGATTTTGGCCAGCTCCTCCTCTCTGCACCTCTGTTTCCCCATCTGTAAATTATTGGAATTTCTCCTCTCGGGGGAGGTGGGTAGTGTCCAGCAATCTGCATTTTGCCGGCATCTGGTACACAGCTGTTGAATGAATGAATGAATGAATGATTCACGCATCTGGTGCGTGAATCTATGACCGCTTTCTCCACTCACACTCCCCTCCCTGCTGCTGCCGCCCGCCCGCCCCGTAGCTCGCCAAGGCCTTGCTGAGGGAGGGGGAGCAAGAGTACCGCCAGGCAGGCCGGCTCTCCAGCCAGACGCAGTCGATGCTCCAACAGGCCTCCCAGCAGGTGCTGGCCTCAGAAGCGCGCAGACAGGAGCTAGAAGCAGCTGATCGGGTGGGTACGTGTGCTGAGACCCCAGCACTCCTCCTCCTGTGGTCCCGGGAGCCAGCCAGGAGCCGCTCAAGCTTTTCTTCCCCTCCCCCCTCAAAAGGTGGGTGCCGGGCTGAGTGAGATGGAGAAGCAAATCCGGGAATCACGCACCTCTCTGGAGAAGGGCATCAAAGCCTTGTCGGAGCTGCTTGCCAGGCTGGGTAAGGAGACCCCAGGGCCGGGCCCTGGCCCCCTGGGTCCACGGTGCATCTCCAGGATCTTCCCGGGAGGCCCCGTCCTGGGGAAGCTTGCTTCCTAGCCCTCCTGTCCGTGGCTCCCCCTATCCCGAGCCTTGTGCTCAATGACAAGCATTTGTAACTGCTCCAGGCCCCCGGGGTCGAGACAGGGATGGTGTCCAGAAGCATATGCTCGCTTCGTCCTCCAGGGGCTGCTAGTCAGGAGAGGAGAGACACAGAACACTCACCACCCACAGAACACCTATAGGTACCAGGTGACTAGGTCCTCCCTCAGTGGTGGAGGGTTTCAGAGGAGAGAGAATGTCACAGAAGCAAGTCTGGCATCGAGGATCAGGTGCTGGTTTGGAATCAGACAGACTGGCACTCAAGTCTGGCACTTTCCCTTCCTTGGCTGTGAGACCTTGGGAAAATCACTCCACCTCTCTGAGCCTCAGTGCCCCCACCTGGGAAATGGGAGTAACAGTGGGGTAGTTTAGAGAGTGCTTTCCACACTGTGTGTGATGAGACAGTAAATCGTGAAACGGACAGCCCCCAGGACGCGGAGCCCTCAGAGCAGGGGTGAGGGGACAGTGTCAGAGCAGTTAGGCTGAAATGAACAACAAGCAGTTTTAAAAGTTGGGGTAAAATACACAAAACATAAAATTTGCTATTTTAGCCATCTTTCAGCGTACAGTTCAATGGCATTAGGCACAACCTTCACCTTATTGTGCAGCCATCGCCACCATCCATCTCCAGAACTTTCTCATCAGCCCAACATGAAACCCGCCCCCATTATACACAGACTCCCCATTCCCCCCTCCCCCAGCCCCTGGCAAGCCCTGTTCTACTTTCTGTCTCTGTGAATTTGGTACTGTAGGCACCTCACCTAAGTGGAATCATATAGTGTGTGTACTTTTGTGACTGGCTTATTTTGCTTAGTGTAACGTCCTCAAGGTTCATCCATGTAACAGCATGCATTTCGGTTACCATGATGGATAAGACAAGGAAGAATCACCAGGTTCTGCATTTTGACTGGATGCCAGGCCTCCACTAAGCTATTCACATGCATGATCGTATCTCATTTTAACTTTCGAGCCAAGGATCCCTGTGCTCTTGCTACTTTGCAGATGAGGAGACTAAGGCACAGAGAATTTAAATGACGTGCCCAGGGTCCCACAGCCAGTCAGTGGGGAGGCTGCGGATCACGCTCAGGTCAGAGTGCCCGCTCGTAGCCACAGGTCTATACCCGCTAGAACTCAGCTCACTGGACACGATGCCCAGCATGAAACAAACGCTCTATGTGGGTAAACCACTCTGGCCGTTGCTGTTGTCACTTATTCTTGCACATCGGCACTATGCTTGACTCGGGGGTGCAGGAGTGACCACGCACACCTAGACCCTGTCCCCGCCCCAGGAGACCCAGCTGGGCAGTTAGAGTGGAAGCTGTAACTTCCTCAAAGGCCAGGCTCTTTGGACTTTCCCGTGGATGGTGGGACCTCTCTGAGTCTTGGCTGGGAGCAGGGCCTGCCCGGCAGCAGGGCTCAGCTTCTCTCTGCTTCTTTCTGCCCCGGGCTCAGCTCTTGCAGTCGCCTGTCCTCCAAACCAGCCTTCATTGCCCAGGAAACTCAGGGCCATGGGGAGCCCTGGGGCCCAGGGGGATCCTGTGGGATTCGAAGGCATTGAGGATTTGTTTCTGTGACTCCAGCACTCTCCCACCTGGCTCAGCTGTCTTTTCATTGAATGCCACCTTAATGACAATGTGACAAAGGCCAGGTGGGGGAGACAGCCCGTGGATTCCATGCCACCATCACCAAGTTCATATGTGAGCACCCGGCCCCACCCCCTCGTTTTACACTTGGAGAGGCTCCTCCGGGAAGTCCTAATGTGTGCTGGGCCAGGACTAGACCCCTGCTGCCTGCTTCCCAGGCCTGCAGCCTCTCCTGCCCCGTCTGCCTCACCCACCCTCATTCTGATGCCAGAAACCTTTCTTTTCACCCTGATGTCCCCGCATCCTGGCCCACAAGTGCCATCTGTAAGTGTGGGCTCTCAGTGAATTGAAACAGTGTGTGGGAGCAGCAGGCATTATGGGGCCTCTCCCACACACACTGCTTTACAGATGAGGAAACTGGGCCTCAGGACTCACCCAAGGCCTTCATTTTTTAACAGTAACAGTAATACCAGCAACAAAAATTAACAGTTGCCCAGTGCCACCCAGGGGGAAAGTTCCGGGGTCTGCACATAAGCCCGGTGGGGTGCCCAGGCCAGGCCCTCACCTGCCTCACCACGCTACCCTCTCGGTCCCTTGCCTCCTGGTAGATCGTGGGCACTCGGAAACCTGGAGGGTTTGGGCTGGGGAGGGCTTCTGGGGATGGGGCCTGAACAGGCTTCTGGGGCCTGCAGGGGAGCCAGCCCACCCTGAGGCTGTCCGTGCCCCTCCACAGGGTCACTGGACACCCTCGGAGCCCCCGCCCGGGCCCTGAATGAGACCCAGTGGGCACTGGAGCGCCTGAGGCTGCAACTGGGCCCACCAGGGGTGCTGCAAGGGAAACTGAGGCTCTTGGAGCAGGAGTCTGAACAGCAGCAGCTGCAGATCCAGAGCTTCGAGAGCAACCTTGCTGAGATCCGTGCTGACAAGCAGAATCTGGAGGCCATTTTGCATAGCCTGCCCGAGAGCTGTGCCAGCTGGCAGTGAGGGCTGCCCGGACCCATGGTGCCCCCGGGCCAGGGCATGCACGCCCGCCACAGGTGCGCCATGCAGGCACACTGCCCAGATCCTGCTGCCGCGTACCCTCCCGAGTCTGTGCCCACACCCCCTCCACACCGGCAGGAGTGAGTGTGCATTCAGAGCTCACCCAGGTGGCTATGGTGTGCACACCCCCATCAGTGTGCACTCCCACACCATACACACGCACAGGTACATGCGGACATGTGCCCGTGTGTGCAGTGCACACGTGTGCAAGTCCATCCATGTGTGGTGCGCCCCCTCTGGATGCTGGGGGTGTTTGTTATGTTATGTTATGTTAGTTATGTTAAATGCCCTGTGACACTGACATACTCAGGCAGGGTTGGTACCTGGGAGGCTGGGACCGGGCAGGGTCGGAGGGTCATCCGCAGAGATCCAGGGTGGGTTCAGCAAGAGCCAGAGCCAGAGCCCCCAGTCCCAGCCCTGCCCTCTGTCCTGCAGTCCCCTGACCAGTGTGTCACCCGCCACGAACACCCAGCAGCTCCGTATAGCTGAGGGACCAGGCAGGTCAAAAGACACAGGATTCTGGGGGGTTCTCAGCAGAGGAACCTGAGGCCCAGGGCTCCTGGGGCCGTGGTGCAGCCTGCTAGGCCGGCCGGGCCGTGGCCCACCCATGCAGGGGTGTCTTTGGCTTTGTGGAATACTTCTGTCTCAAGATCCTGGGACTGGGTCAGACTCACTGAAGGAATCACCTGCCCTAGGCCCGGTGCCCCTTTTGGGCCATGGCCTTGTGACCTGAGGGGGCCTGGGTCAGGGGGCTCAGACAGGTCGCTTGGATCTTCCCTTTGTGACCCTGCCAACCCTGGCTGGCCTTTGACCGGTCGACACTTCCCAAACTGGCCCTGCAGCCCTGTGGCCCCATCTGCCACATGGGAGGCCCTGCTGGGCGTGGAGGCCTGGCTGCCTTTCTAACCTGTCAGGCTAGGGTGTCCCCCTGTGGCTAGGCCCTGCCCAGGGTTCCCGGCATCTCCTCCTGGCACTCCTCCCCTTTCCCGGGCCCTCTTCCAGCAGACTGCGGGGCCTTGGCACTGGGAGGATGGGTGCCTCGGGGGGCCCAGTCCCTTCCCAGCGTTCTTCCTGCCCCTCAGCAGGGGTGACAGGCAGAAGCCCAGACCATTTCTGTTTAACCAACTCTGTTTAACGTGGCAATAAAGGACCCCTTTACTAGCTGGTGGCGTGCCTTTGGTCCTCCGGTGCTGGTCGGCAGCAGGATCCCCGGCTGTGGGTGCAGACTCACCGCCTGGCCGTGGGTGCACATGCCCCCCCCCCCACCCCAGGGAGTCAGTGGCAGAAGGTTCAGTGATCCCTCTTGGCCCACATGAGGTAGAAGGAAGGTGACAAAGCTGAGCCCATCGGCTTTGCCAGTGTCTTCCCACTGGGGGGACTCTGCTGGGGTCCTGCAACCCCAAGCATCTGCCCTCTCCTCTCTGCTCCGGGGGGCTTATTAGGCAAAGTCTAGGGCCTGGGGGAGTTTGAGGGGTGGGGTACAGAGAGGTCCTCAGCTGACCTCTGGCTCAGGCTGGAGACACCGAGGCAGGAAAGGAACTCAAAACCAGTGTCCAGCAGCGCAGAAAGGCTCAGGGAGGGACACCAGTGAGGAGAGGAGGAGGGCTTTGGGCCAGGCCTCAAAGGGTGGGGAGACAGCGGGGAACATTCCAGGCAAGGGGGTGGGCGACAGCGCAGCATTTGCAGGGTAGGGGCCTGGCCCGCACGGCTCACTCCAGGAACTCAGGTCGCAGGCGGGATTATGGCGCATGCTCAGTCAGGGCTCTGGACCACGAGGCCTGCCCCCCTCCCGGGTTGGTTTAAGCAGAAAAGGGGAGTTTGTTGGGACGACTTGGGAGAGTCTCCTGGAATCCTGGGGTAGGAAGGGCTGCCAAGGCTCAGAGATGGTCAGGGGCCGAGGGCTTGCCTCTCCCTTCCCTCCCACCCCTCCCCTTGGTCTCTGCCTCTGCTCTCTCCGCATTTACTTTGTTTTGTTCTCTCTGCAGAGCAGCTTTCTTTGCTTTTCTTGTGCTTGATGGAAGAGAATGTCCCCACTGCCCCCACCTGGACCCACCATGGCCCCCATGTTTACTTGTCATCAGGTCAAAAGCTTGGCAGAGACAGGCTGGAAAACTGACCTGATTCCAGCTTCCCAGGAGGGACCAACCCAGCTTAGGCCGGGTCCCCCCCTACTCCTGTTCAGAAAGTCAAGGGTCTCTGGGTCCAAGGCCATATAACGAGAGCTGGGCTGTGCCTTCCCCACCCCCGCAAACTCACTGGGGGAGAGCATTCAGAGAAGAGGTGCGCTCTTCCACGGAGAAAATGAAAACCGAGGCCAGGGGGAGGGGGGTGGCGTGATGCACGTCGATGACCCAGGGAGTAAGCTGGTAGGTTTGGGAGGGAGGACAGGGGGTGGGGAGGCCAAAACAGGAGGTTGCTGCTCTACTGTGAGTTTGATGATTGACGTCTGGTGTAAGTGGTGTCAAGGAGATGGGGGTGCTTTGCAGACCTCTGGGGCGGGGTGTGATGCCCCCAAACCCTCTTCCCTGCTACCCAGCTTCTCTGCTGACAGAGGCACACAGCTCTTCTGATGCCTGCTCTTGGCCTTAAACCTTTCTCTGCTCAAGCCGTGGGGGGGCTCAGCAAGCCCCAGTCTCAGCATCCCCAGTGGGTGGAGAACAGGCTTCCTCTCTGTTCCGCGGTGACGTACCTCAGACCTGACATCTCGTGACTCATGCAGTCCAGTCATGCTTCGGGTGCAGAGAGCCACTCTGGCCCCAGAGGTGGGGCTGTGGCTGGGTGGAATGTGGCAGCTGCTGAACATCTGGCTAGCAATGCAGCCCAGCAGCTGAGCAGTGGAAGATGGGGTGGCCTCTGCCCTGCAGAACCAGTGACTGGGGCCAACCAGCCCAGGGCAAAAGGCTCTCCGAGCCTGAACCAGGAAGTGCATTATGAGGGTCCCATTCTATGTCAGTTGTCTTCTCTGACCTCCAGACGGGACATCTCCCAGCAACCAAGGGTTATAACTCCTATCTGCTTAAACCACCCTGATGGTAATAAAATTTATAACGGCCCCTGCTGGGTGAAAAGCATTGTTTCCTCCATTCTGCAGAACAGAAATGCCAAGTCCTATTTCATAGAGGTTTGAGAATTAAATGATGTAACACATATATCCTGGGTTGATCTGGCAAAGTGCCTGGTGCCCAGTGAGTGCTCAAGAAGAAAGGTTTTATTAACAAAACACTAATTCGTTCTAATTGATTTAAAGTGCCACTGATACCCTAGAGGCACTTTGTCATTATGCATTTTCTCAAGAAACTAAAAGTTTGTTCATCTTTCAAGAGTTCAGAGTTAAGTTTGGGAACCTAGGCCTCCCTTCCAAAAGTGCGTGCTGCGCAAAAGGCGGAAGGCACGTTACAGCTCCCGGCAGCTGGGACCCGCATTTGATCTTTATAGCCATCCCGCGAAGTGCGTACTAAGGTCGTCCGCGGTCTGTTTAAGGGGAAACCGCGGCCCGGAGCGGGAAGGGACTGGCCGAGCTTCCCGCAGGAGCGGAGAGGGAGGTGCTCACAGGCGGCCCCCGCGCCGTGCATTTTCCGCGTCCTCCAGCAGAGGGGCCGGCGGCGGGCTCGGCGTCCAGCATAATAGCCGCGTCGGTGCCGGGCGGCGGGGAGGGGAGGAGAGGGGAGGCGGGCC